GACCCAGAGCAGCAGCTTCACATACCCAAGATAGAGGACATTGTGACTGCTGTGATAGAGATGTATGGAGACATCTGAGACTCTTCATTAGACACGATAACAACCCAAAGATCTTGTATGTAACAAGGAGATCAAGTAAAAAAAGTTACTTTAGCGGGTTTCACACACAAAAAAAGGGCCTAAATTGAAAGTAACATAACACACAGAAACGCGTACACCTAAAAGTATCACAAAAATAAAAATAGTAAATAAAAAAAAACTCGATCAGTTATTTTCAAATAATAATCCCTTGAATTAGTATTAAAATACAAACACTAAGCTTCCAGGGAAAAATTTCTTTTTTACAAATTATTTATTTATATCTCTAGCTTTCTAGCAAGAATTCATTTTATTATTTTTATCACATATATCATTAACCATCATTAATATCATTATCATCATATTTATCATTAATTATCATTAACATCAATAATTATCATTTATCCTAAGACATTTCTATAGCCCCTCTGAAATTCGGAATTTCCCAATCTCTATAAATCTATTAGCAGTATTCCCTATTCACCAGTATCTGTTTCTATAGCTCGTCATCTAAAGAAATTTGGAATCAAAACCTTTTTCAGCAACTCACCTAATATAAATTCGTTACTAAGAAATCCCATAACAAAAAACTATATCATTGATTATCCTTCCAATATTAAGAATGCCATATACACAATAGAATGCAACGAATGCAAAACCAAATATGTCGGCGAAACTGGCAGATATTTAAAAATAAGAGTATCAGAACATAAACGAAATATCGATAATCAAGACAGTAGATCTTTAGTATACCAACATATAAGAGAAACATTCCTTCTCCCTATCAGAACCAAAGACCCATTACTCCAACATCCCCAATAGAATACAGAGACTTATCATAGAATCCATCATATCCAGACAATAGCATTAACAGAAGAATAGACATTCTAGAAATTTATAATATACTGATATAATATACATTGATGACAAGGCCAAGATACCAGAGTAAAGTTGGGGAAAGAGGGGTGGACTCCAGCTGTCATGTGGCAGGCGCCAAAAACAGCATTCCTGTTTGAGGGGAGGACAACGGGCAGTCTGGTTACATCTGTGGCAAGGATAAGACGTGGCGACTTGTCTCCGGGCGTGTGGATGATCCTACAAGGCAGTGCCAGGAGTACCTGACTTCGGAGCGGTCTACAAGACGGTGTAGTCCAGGCTGGACATGTACAGTGTGGACACAAGAGTGACATCCACGGCGCCAAGGATTCTTCTGACGGGGAGGTTGAAGACACGTCCCACTGATTGTATTCCTTCTGTTCAGTACCACATACAATAAAGCGATAACTTTTGCTCCATCCCTTCAAACTCACGTGTGTATCTTTGTGGCTTCCTGAGTAAACAAAGTACACGAATAGCGTCTGGGTACGACGTAACAATACTAATCCCTGAACCCCCCCTATAACCTCCAAATGAAGATATCACCTCTGAATAGCAAACTCGATGAGCACGCACAACAGAAGCCCGCGTTGATTCTGAATTCATACAACTGTAAACATCCATTTTATTTGTTTTTAATTATTCTTTTATTGGCGGTTCATTTTAAATATGTTCTCCTGTAGAAGGACTTTCTTGCCTGAAAGCTTGAGATATAAATAAAATATTTGTAAAAAAGAAACTTTTCCATGGAGACAAGATAATTTAAACAGTTTTATTGATTCTTTTAATCAAATTCTACAAAGGTGGAAAAATAAAAGAGTAAAAGGATATATAAAGTGTAGGGGAATATATATATAGTTGTGTACAAATGTCTTCAGCAAGGAAGGCTTCCCCACCTTGAGAGAGTCCTCCTCCAGACAAGGTCTTCACTCCTCAGTTCCACGCCGAGGAAGTAACTATAGATGTGTGTCTTGGTAGATATCAGGTTGGTCAGGGCGTCATCGTCTAGACCATGCCCGAAGACCCAGCCCTGCAGGTCAGGGGGGATGATGGTAAATGCCTCCCGGATGAGAGGCCTGATGTAGCGGCAGGACCAGTACCGGTGAACCAGCGACAGGTCGCCGGACCCACAGGCGATGCAAGACTGTTGTGCCGATCTTTTCCATGAGACCTAATGTTTGTATTTTAATAAGATTAGTTATAACAAAATAAAAAAGTACATATATTTTATTATAGCGCTGATAAGGAGCAGACCGGGGTTACACTGGTATACGAGGATTCCCAGACGCGGACCAAGCATACAGAGAACACTTTAAACGTCTCCACACAATTACTCCCATCCTACGTTATCTGTAATGTTGTCCCAAAAATCGTAAACATATTAAGATTTATGAAAATTAGAAACTATTTTAGACGCGTATGATTCTTTTTGAAATTAAACAATTTCTACTGTCCTTACGGCAATGAAAAAATTAATGGGAGTGCCCTGGCTCATCAGTGGTGAATCCTCCCAGCGGTTTCGCCAGTTTAATCTACCATACCGCTGTTTTATTGCATTTTTGGAACTTCCTTTTATAGTGATTCTGATGCTAGACTCTTGGAATGGGTATTTTAGATGAACTATGGACATAAGCTCTTTGAAGACAGCAGAATTACATATAATTATAAGTATATATTAAGATTTATATTTTGCAAGTGTTTACGAACTTTTAGGACAACCTTAGTAATATTGGTAACCTTAGTAAAATTATAACAGAATTCTTATAGAAGAATGATTTAATCTCTGATGTTCTATATCAAGGGTGGTCAATCAGCAGGTGGGCCAAGTTTCAGAATTACAAGGTTGTCCCAAAAATTTTTAAAAACTTGCAAAATATAAATCATAATATTTTTACGAACTTTTTGTATAACCATGTATTAAGCATCCACTATAATTTCTACAGATCAATTGTAAATAGATTCATACACAAAAGAGGTATTAAGGAAAGTTTTAAAACAGATGTGTAAATAAATCCCTTTTCAAACAAAGGCTCACGTGCACATTTCCCATGTGAGAAAAAAATTACTGTATTATTTTGTTGTTGTATGGCGAATCCATACAGAGCAATGGGCCCTAATAAAAACCTTTTTGTTGTTGTTGTTGTATTAAGCATCCCTGAACATTTTGTAGGTTAAAGTAGCAACAAAAATCTCTCTCTTTTTATTGACAAGCCATCGTGTCCCTTCTTCACCTGAGGCTGTTTATGGACAAGCTCAGAGCAGACCAGAAGCTGTACCTACTCAACGAACGACTCATAAAGGGACTTGAAAGCTCCAAGAGTGCTTATGGTTATAGACTAACTAGACGAATGACCCGGGCAACGCCCGGGTTTACGCGATTAAATGTTTTATTCAAACACTATTCGTTACAATTATAAATTGGCGCCGTGGATGTCACTCTTGTGAAACGTCCCGCTCCAAACTTTACAGTCAGATTAGTTACGATATAAATCTTCAAATCGAGCGAGCGTCTATAAATATTTCGATTTAGATCAAGTATTCTAATTAGTAAGCGAACTATTATTAATAAAAATTTGAAAAGATTTCGATTTTAAACGTATTTATAACCTTGATAGAGGGCGCTGTTCGTGAGCTAAGTAGAATAAGTTGAATATATAGTTTTAATATTTAATTTATATATAATTTAAAATAACCTATCGTTGTCCTAGGTAGCCTAGTGGTCATGGCATCTGCCCGGTAAGCGGAAGGTCGTGGGTTCGATTCCCATCCCTTGACACTTTTTTTATTTTATCCATTCTGACCAAAATCTATCCGTGAACTTCACACAGTGAACTTCACAAAGACAGAATAAGGCAATTATATAATTAATAATAATTATTATTATCATTAGATAATGATCATAATAATGATGCGCGCGTTGATGACCAAAATCTATCCGTGAACTTCACACAGACAAAATAAGGCAATTATATAAGTAGACTAGCCGAATTGCCTCGGGCAACGCCCGGGTTTTACCCGATTAAATGTTTTTATTTACATACTATTCGTTACAATTATAAATTGGCGGCGTGGATGTCACTCTTGTGAAACGTCCCGCTCCAAACTTTGTGTCTGAGAAGCGATATTTTTATAGAAAGATGATCTGACTTTTGTTTTCTGCTCGAATGAATGTTTTTCTGTTAGAATTTTGTTCCTGCGTACAAAATAATGAGCTGGTTTCACCCGTGGTCTCTGCTTTTTGGAATTTTTCCCGATATAATTTTGTATCTGATAATCTTACATGATACAGCAATATCGTCATCATCATTTTCTGACTAATAATATATAGTTTTAATAATTGATTTATATATTTTTTAAAATAGCCTATCGTCTTCCCCGTATTGTTTTACCTATGTATGGAAATTTTGGTTTGAATTAGTGAACTACTGCGAATTTGTATACCGGACATACAACCAACAAACAAACAAACAAACATACAAACATTAATTTATATATATATAGAAGATATAATATAAATGAGTTTTAAAAATTGTTTTAAAAAAATGCATCGGCCGGGAATCGAACCCTGGCCGCCCGCGTGGCAGGCGAGCATTCTACCACTGAACCACCGATGCTTTAAAAAAATGGCCATATTTAGGTATTCATTCCATTCCGGATTAGTCCGCGTAAAAAAAAGTTCTTCAAATGAAAAAAAGAAATAGCCAAAAATACTAATCAAAATGCAGCCGAAAATTTTCCTCAGGTTTATAAAAAGCGACATGCAAAATTTGGTACCAATTGGTTCAGTAGTTTTTGAGTTTATCGCGAAACAGACAGACAGACAGAAATTGACTTTTATATATATATAGAGATATAGAGACTAGACGAATGGCCCGGGCAACGCCCGGGTTTTACCCGAGTGCGTATATATTTTAAAAATGTTTTAATTAAAATACTATTTGTTACAATTATAAATTGGCGCCGTGGATGTCTCTCTTGTGAAACGTCCCGCCCCAAACTGTGTGTGTCTTGAAAATATAAAAATAAAAATATGAACGGAAAAATATGTCCAGGGTAGCCTAGTGGTCATGGCATCTGCCCGGTAAGCGGAAGGTCGTGGGTGCGATTCCCATCCCTTGACACTTTTTTTATTTTATCCATTCTGACCAAAATCTATCCGTGAACTTCACACAGTGAACTTCACACAGAGAGAATAAGGCAATTATATAAGTAGATAATCCAAATTGTGCCTTATCACACACTATTTTTTTATTTGGCCGTATTACCTTGTGTTTATAATCTATGACGTAATGCCGGCGGCGCGCGCCCGTTGGCTGCCGGCGAGCACGTGACCTCCCTGTGCGCGCGCATCCGTGACAGAACCGGCCGCCCATGACGGTCGTGACTATATATATACTAGACGAATGGCCCGGGCAACGCCCGGGTTTTACCCGAGTGCGTATATATTTTTAAAATGTTTTAATTAAAATACTATTTGTTACAATTATAAATTGGCGCCGTGGATGTCACACTTGTGAAACGTCCCGCTGCAAACTTTGTGTCTGAGAAGCGATATTTTTATAGAAAGATGATCTGGCTTTTGTTTTCTGCTCGAATGAATGTTTTTCTGTTAGAATTTTGTTCCTGCGTACAAAATAATGAACTGGTTTCACCCGTGGTCTCTGCTTTTTGGAATTTTTCCCGATATAATTTTGTATCTGATAATCAAACATGATACAGCAATATCGTCATCATCATTTTCTGACTAAAAATATATAGTTTTAATAATTGATTTATATATATTTTTAAATAGCCTATCGTCTTCCCCGTATTTTTTACCTATGTATGGAAATTTTGGTTTGAATTAGTGAACTACTGCGAATTTGTATACCGGACATACAAACAAACATACAAACAGACAAACATTCATTTTTATATATATAGAGATTTACTCTTCATTGTTGGCTTTTTATATTATATTTACTCTTCATTGTTGGCTTTTTATCTTACATTCACTCTGTTGGCTTTTTATATTACATTTACTCTTCATTGTTGGCTTTTTATCTTACATTCACTCTTCATTGTTGGCTTTTTATATTATATTTACTCTTCATTGTTGGCTTTTTATCTTACATTCATTCTTCAAAGTTGGCTTTTTATATTACATTCACTCTTCATTGTTGGGTTTTTATCTTACATTCACTCTGTTGGCTTTTTATATTACATTTACACTTCATTGTTGGCTTTTTATCTTACATTCACTCTTCATTGTTGGCTTTTTATATTATATTTACTCTTCATTGTTGGCTTTTTATCTTACATTCATTCTTCATTGTTGGCTTTTTATATTACCTTTACTATTCATTGTTGGCTTTTTATCTTACATTCACTCTTCATTGTTGGCTTTATATCTTACATTCATTCTTCATTGTTGGCTTTTTATATTACATTCACTCTTCATTGTTGGCTTTTTATCTTACATTCATTCTTCATTGTTGGCTTTTTATATTACATTTACTCTTCATTCACTATTCATTGTTGGCTTTTTATATTATATTTACTCTTCATTGTTGGCTTTTTATCTTACATTTATTCTTCATTGTTGGCTTTTTATATTACATTTACTCTTCATTGTTGGCTTTTTATCTTACATTCATTCTTCATTGTTGGCTTTTTATATCATATTTACTCTTCATTGTTGGCTTTTTATCTTACATTCATTCTTCATTGTTGGCTTTTTATATTATATTTACTCTTCATTGTTGGCTTTTTATCTTACATTTATTCTTCATTGTTGGCTTTTTATATTATATTTACTCTTCATTGTTGGCTTTTTATCTTACATTTATTCTTCATTGTTGGCTTTTTATATTACATTTACTCTTTATTGTTGGCTTTTTATCTTACATTCATTCTTCATTGTTGGCTTTTTATATCATATTTACTCTTCATTGTTGGCTTTTTATCTTACATTCATTCTTCATTGTTGGCTTTTTATATTATACTTATGATGATGCGCGCGCATCCGTGACATGAGGAATTGAGGAATTGATTGACGGTGGAAAGACGGTCGTGACTATATATGTTGATGGATGGATAATAATAATAATATAATAATAATAATAATAATAATTATTATTATCATTAGATAATGATAATGATCATAATGATGATGCGCGCGCATCCGTGACACGATTGACGGTGGAAAGACGGGGGGTCGTGACTATATATTTTGATTAATTAATAATAATAATAATATAATAATAATAATTATTAATATTATTATTATCATTAGATAATGATAATGATCATAATGATGATGCGCGCGCATCCGTGACACGATTGACGGTGGAAAGACGGGGGGTCGTGACTATATATGTTGATTAATTAATAATAATAATAATAATAATATAATAATAATAATTATTATTATTATCATTAGATAATGAAAATGATCATAATGATGATGCGCGCGCATCCGTGACACGATTGACGGTGGAAAGACGGCGGGGGGGGGGGGGGTCGTGACTATATATGTTGATTAATAATAATAATATAATAATAATTATTAATATTATTATTATCATTAGATAATGATAATGATCATAATGATGATGCGCGCGCATCCGTGACACGATTGACGGTGGAAAGACGGGGGGGGGGGGGTCGTGACTATATATTTTGATTAATTAATAATAATAATATAATAATAATTTAAGAATAAACGTATCATTAAACGGAAGATAAGGATCTTTTATTTGGAAACGTTACGAGCTTTCGGGCAAACGCCCTTCTACAGGTTCATTCGTCAAACCTGTAGAAGGGCGTTTGCCCGAAAGCTCGTAACGTTTCCAAATAAAAGATCCTTATCTTCCGTTTAATGATACGTTTATTCTTAAGTTGCACACCGGAAGAGTTTCAAGTTCTACTATAATAATAATTATTAATATTATTATTATCATTAGATAATGATAATGATCATAATGATGATGCGCGCGCATCCGTGACACGATTGACGGTGGAAAGACGGTCGTGACTATATATGTTGATGATTAATTAATAATAATAATAATAATATAATAATAATAATTATTATTATTATCATTAGATAATGATAATGATCATAATGATGATGCGCGCGCATCCGTGACACGATTGACGGTGGAAAGACGGTCGTGACTATATATGTTGATGTATGTTGATGGATAATAATAATAATATAATAATAATAATAATAATTATTATTATTATTATTATCATTAGATAATGATCATAATGATGATGCGCGCGCATCCGTGACAGAACCGGACGCCCATGACGGTCGTGACTATATATGTTGATGTATGTTGATGGATAATAATAATAATAATAATAATTATTATTATTATTATCATTAGATAATGATAATGATCATAATGATGGTGCGCGCGCATCCGTGACAGAACCCATGACGGTCGTGACTATATATGTTGATAATTATTAATAATAATAATAATTATCATTAGATAATGATAATGATCATAATGATGATGCGCGCGTTGATGACCAAAATCTATCCGTGAACTTCACACAGACAGAATAAGGCAATTATATAAGTAGATGGTGTTAAATAACGTGAGCTTTGAAACCTCTTTCTTCTCTTTAAGATTCAGGAATATCGACTCTTACAAACCTATCTGCCATTGTTAGGGTACATCATTCATTGCCAGACACTTCTTTCTTTTGTACACAGTTCTTTTTTCTCTCTCTTTCTCATTGTTAATATCATATGACTATTCACGGCCTAAAATTATTGTATAAATATGTATAGACAAATGTAAAGGCATACATGTATGACAGCCAGCCAAAGTCAACCCCTTACAAACGGCTCTCTAACATCAGAGCAAAGACTAGAAGCGTGCAATAGCTTCTGCCTTGAGTGCCTTAATGTGTGCAGCATTGCCGCTTGACACAGGAGCATCGAACTGTGATGTTTCCTGGTGCCGGAGTCTTTCCCGCTGTGGGCCCCACCACTGAAGACTGCATATATTATATATATGAATATTTATCTATTTTATATTTTACAACTATATATTTATTCTTTTTTATTCACATTTATTTTGTATTTAACCATATCTTGTATATCTGTAAATGTGAAAGTATTTATTGATGACGTCACGGCGACTAGTCGACAATTATTAACCAAACTATCTACAGCTAGAGAATATCGAGCAAGCAAGCTAGGTAACTAAATGATGATTTTATAAATTTTAAATCTGTTTCCAAATATTTTCATTGAATAATTAAATTAAATAATAAATTATTTCTTCGCCACAATATACAATCTTATATGAACATTGAAATAAATCAGTTTCAATCTCCTACCCACCATGATTATCATGGCCTGTACCACGTGTACTAGGGATAAGCAAAAAAAAAAAAGTTTCAATCTCAATCTCTCTTTATTGATTAACTTAGAACCAAATCCCATGTAAGAAAGAAAATATTGTAAGGAAGTTCCACTTTCAACTAGGTAGCTTAACAATGTGCTATTTTAAGGCAAGTTGAGCAGATTTATGGACAAAATTTGAAGAAAATTGATGATTGTGGGTGATATGACACCCCGTGTTGTTATGTGTCACTGGGGGTTGGTTGACAAATGTCGCGGGGTGAGGTAAATATAGACAGCTCTTCCTAGAATCCCCCCCCCCCTCCCCAATGTCTCTTTGTCTATCTCTTTTAATCTTACTTCTTTTACCTGATTTCAGAACATCTCCAAGATCTCTCTCTATATATAGACACATCAGGAAGTTCATTTGATATATGTTACCTTGAGATTTAAAAATAGTTCATTGACCTCATACACAAGTCAATGGTAGTAGTATTTTTTTTTTTAATTTATTGTTACAAAAGCACGAAGTCCAAAGGACTATTGTGCTGTGCTAATATTACTTACATATATATGATAAAATATTTACACGATGGATTAGTAGTGTTTTGTAAATTATTGTACAGATAGTTCTAAACTTAACAAAGTTCTCATAAGATAAAGTATATACACAAAGAGAATTTGGTAATGTTTCAAAGTATCTACATACAATTTGATTAGTCAGAGGGCAAGTTAAAAGAAGATGCTCTAGTGATTCAACATCTAAGCGGCATT